CCTCTACTACTTTATCTGTTTCCTTATTGTCTCTGCTCTGAAGGTTTATGTGCAATTGCTGGATTTCTGCAACTTTCTGATTCATTTCATCATTAATCTTTGCAACCTCGGAATCCCTCTGATACAACAAAGTATAAAGAGATGTAAAGATTGTTAAAGCAAATATACAAAACTGCGCAAGGTTTCATGAAAAATACTAGTACTGATGTTCCTGATCATCATGAAGACCAACTAAAATTCAGCAATAAATGGATTTCTTAATGATAAGATACTGTAATTCGCATTTTTCAACAACACAAGTTAACATCTATGAATTTCAATATAACAATCAAATTGGGCTAACAAAAAGATGACCAGGTATTGGAAAATGTATCAACTGAGAAATAAGTCAGGTAACAATGTAATATTAACATTCAAATCCAAAATAAGAAACATAATAGCATAATAATAAAACGTAGCATCCTGCATTCATACGCAGCTGTATGAGTGGAAAAGCAGCAACCTTTAGTGAAGTGTGGATGTATTTACGTCTTAACTTACATTGTCCTTGTCAACTTTTAAAAAGTTCAGCTCCTGCTGAAAAGATGCATTCAATTCCTGCTCCTCTAAGAATGAAAAAATGCAATCAGTGTGAAAAATCACTAGAAGCACAGATGAATTAACACTAAAACTGTTAGTCTATTGGACTAGAAAGCAGGTACCTTTTAATTTTGTTTCTATATTTTCTAGCTTGCGGCGTTCTTTATTAAGATCCATTCCCAATTGCTTTATCTGCAACTCATAACTTTCTTGCATTGATGAAAGAGGCTTGTTCTTCTCTTCCAGCAAATCTGCAAGCTCCTAAAATTAAATTTATGTCAACCTTTTTTTTGTTATGTAGACATCCAACATAACATATAGAAGTAATTGAGATCCTGTGACAGGATAGCACTTAAACCAAGTCAAAACATGCAGCATATAGTCCATTAAATATGCAATGCAAGGTCCGCAAATACTAAAAAATGATTACATGTGACAGGTCAAATGAAAATTCTAGATATATGATAGCAAATTCAGTTCACAACTTTCACAATAATGATGCTTTTCAGTATTAGAGAGACAAAAGCAGAATCCAACTTTAGCAACATTTATCATTTTAAAAAGAATAATAGAAGCGTGATACAACCTTCTCGCCACCAATGATTTCTCCATTGCTTAGTCCATCATGCCGAGGCAAAACACCATTACCGAATGGGGTTCCTGCTATGTCATTCTTTGCAGCAGTTTTATGATGACTAGTTAATGATTGATCACTGCTCCCCTACACAGAAGCACAAACCATTTAATTAATAGCATGTCTTGTTAAAATGAGGATTTAGCAATCCCTTGGATGAAAGAATTCACAAATCACAATCCCTCTTCCTCTCTCAAAGATCAAGACAATCAAGTATGGCTAAAATGGATGGAATGAGCTAAATTTGTTGATATTGTATTTGGAATAAATAAAAAAGTATTTAACTACATAGTATTTTATTAAAAAATTAAGAAAATAAGGAGTAATCTAAAAGGTTAGTTATAAGGATCATTTTGTCAGCTTAACAACTAATATGGTCATAATGTCATATAAGTTACAGAGTATTATTTTGTAGAAAAATTGAATGATAAACTGGTATTGTTGTGCTCTTGTTGGTGTATGTGTGTGTGATGTATGCATTGGATCCGTTTTGGGTTTTGTTTGCATGTGTGTGTGTCTTATCTTTTTTTATTTTTTGCTCATTTTTTTGGGGTGGGTGGGTGGGGGGGGGTCTGCTACACAAGTCAAACAGCACCGAAGTTGCATACTTGCATGTACTAAAACATGTGTGAGTTCAAGAGAATAAAAGAATAATAAAATTAATGCATGGTATCAACAAATATTATACTAATCATGTTAGTACCCTGGAAGAATGTCTAGATCCAGCAAGTGCATCACTTGATTTTAAATTTAGCTTCAGTGAACCATTTTCTTCAGTCAACCTGCCAATCTGATCCTGTAAAATGAAAACTACTGATTTCTGGAAGCAAAAAATGGTGTTCTAGGAACAAAGGAACCCAATATTAATGTCACAAAGAGATGCAGAAAGTATTCTCCAAAGAGAACACAATGAACTCAAGGTGATTATTTAGATGGTCAAGAGATGTAATCATAATTATGGTTACCTCTTTTTCCTTCAGTAACGCGGCATAATTAACAGACAGTGCTTTGATTTCAGCTTCAGATTCTTTGAGTCTCTTGATTTCGGCTTTGTATTTTTCAATCTACAACATAAAGCAAACCCCCAAGGAACGTTTTAAAATTTTCAGATTAGCACATACATTCTTCAAGGCAGAGTAATCACAGCTTCTTCGTAACAGCCCAATCCCAAAAACAATGGCAAAGGAAGATAGAGGGCCATCTTGAATTTGAAAAAAATGAGAAAAGTTGTAGCACTCAGGCAACTTTAGCCAGCATTATGCCTGAACTATTGATGGATGACAAAATTATACATTCATAAAGGAAATCATACGTGTAAATAGTATTTCTCCCAATAACTAGGCTGATCCCAGATCGCACTGAAAAAAAAAGGAATTGGCTCAATGCACTACTGAGAAGCCCACCCAAAACCCAATTCCCCAACTAAATTGTGGATCTCATCACAAACGTTTGCTGAAAATAAAAATAGGGAAAACTGGAAACGCCATTAACTCCGATTGCATCCGTATCCTAGTTCACATTCCAAAAGAACCTTCAGTTCATATCTCAAAAAGAGAGAGAACGAGCTTCGTACCTCGGACTTGTAAGCGGACTCGAGGCCATTGGCAACCGGGCCATGATAATCATATGTCGGCGATTCGGAACGAGAAAATTTCCTAGAAATCCTTCGATTGGCAGGTGAAGCTGATAAATTAGCGACCGAATTGCTGCCGGGCATCGACGGCCGGGCATCATCCTCATCGTCGCCCTCGTGAATCTCCAACGCGATCCTGTTCAAATTCTCCTTCATATTTTCGATGGAAGTCCACATCATGCCCCACTGCTCTGGACAAAAACAGTTTGCTGTTTGCGTTTAATACAGGCAGCTTCAGGCAAATTTTAAAGATGCAATCCAGACTCGTTTAAGACGAATAGAGAAATCTTGTGCCATTTGTTCTCCTCAACTCACAAGTGATTATTTTTTCTCAATGTTTATTTTTTTTCTTTTTAAATCAAAACTTATAAATTTTGATTCTTAATAAAATAAAACTAGCAATTCCTTCTTTTAAAAATTGTCTTCATGTTCATTGTTCATATGTTCAAACTTTATATACTTTATGGGTTCATTTTTTTTCTCATTTGATAATATGGTACTCCATCCGTCTCAAATTAAATTGTCCCTTTATTATTCACATGGTCATACTTTAGACATTTTTTTCTTATTTTTATTAGTTATTTGATAAAATAATATAGTCATGTTATCGCTAGTTTTTTAGACATTTTGATGTAATTTTTAAAACTACTCCCTCCGTCCCACTGTTTTTGTCCACTTACCTTTTGACACACCATCCAATGCACTTCTTTAATCCATTTTATCTTGTAATTTGTATATTAAAAAATTATAGAAATTATATATTAATAATCTATATGTTAAGACAAATCAAACAAGATCAAACATGACTATATTTAGGCTTACACATTGAGAAAATTTGATGAGTCAAAGTTCTTAGATGAACAGTTCCAAAAATCAAAAGTGGACAAAGACAGTGGGACTGAGGGAGTATAATTTTATTTTTAAATTCTACTAAATTTTTCATATAAAACAATTTGAAAATATTTTTGGTCAAACATCGTAAAATGAGACAGATGATTTAAACTGGGACGAAGAGAGTATAATCATGTCGCTCCTAGTTTTGTAGACGAGTGATCAAGGTCTACATTTAAAATGTAGACTTTCTCACATTTTTCATGAGCTTACATCCAGATATTTTCTTTTTTGTAAAAGACACACTTCTTTTATATTACATATGCACTCAGGTTCATATAATGAGCATGAACTTTAGGTCCACAGAAGAATTTACTTTTTATAGAATTCTTGATGTAATTTTTAGATACATTAATTTTATTTGAATTTTACACTAATAATCGAATAAAGTGAATTTAAAACTTTGTAAATTGAGATGGAAAGTTAATTTTAAGACATATGGAGTATTAGCTTATGACGGATTGACGGTGATGACATAACTCCGCTTCCGCAGCTAAAGCATCCCACCATGTGAGATGAGGCAAAAAACTTATCAGCTTAAAGAATGGTCAACCAACCCCTGGTTAAAGGGTTCAAGAAACTTGTGACTATCTCAATTAATTTTTAATAAAATTTAGTTAGAGAAGCTTTAGCTGAAGCAACAAGCCGACACGAATCAAACAAAGTTAGAGCTTCTAGGACTTAATAAAATACTTTGAACTGGTGATGATTAAAGTGATAATCTAGCCTTGGTGAAGCGAACGATGGCAATAAGATTGAAAATATAAGATTCTTTGTTATTTTTATGTATATGTAGTATTTTTTAAGTAGAAATGTGTATATGTATTTCTTAATTAAGTACTCGGAGTAATAATAAAGTATTCAAACTAAAATTTAAATTGAAGTAAATTAAATGTTTGAAATAATGTTTTAAAAAATTGAAGTGAAATGGAAAGAAAATAAAAATCATAACTCTAAACGAAAAATAATTGGGAGCGGTGCACACAACCCACACCCTTATGTAGTTAGTGCTCATCCAAGTGTTGCATCTTAGCTTCAGTGTAAATACTCTTACAATGGGGAAGGGAGAGTCCCGTCGCAATGCTGGGATGAGTGGGGCGAGCACCAAGCTCCCAATGCACGAGGACTCAACGAGGAGGATGTTCGTTGTCATGGTGCGGGCCAGTGTCGTGGGTGTGACAAGGCGAGCGATGTAAGTCCATTGTAGCGCTAGTAAGGGGTTTAATTTATTTAAATTTCAACTTTATAAATCAAATTTTCAATTTAATTCTTTAAATTTTTGTACTTTTTATTTTCTAAGGAATTCTATAATTTTAGCAGTAGTATTTCTTTTTTAATTTTAAAAATTTGAAGCACTTATTAACTTCTAGTATTTGTAAGTTTAACTTTTAAGCATGTTTAGTTTTTTCTCTTTTATTAATACTCTAAAATTTTCATACTTTTTAATGTTGTTCCGTATTTTATTACATTTATAATTCTGTAAAATAAAAATTATAAATAGTACTTCCTCTGTTCCGTTGTATTTATTCACTTTTGATTTTTCGGTCAAAATTGGTAAATTTTGATGCCAAATTAAATAAAAATGATATTAGATATTGATACAAAAATAATTATATTAGATATATTATATAAGATGTTTTCAAAATATTATTTTATCTAATTAATATACAATATATATTAAATATAATTAAAGATCAAAGGTTGACAATGTTTAACTAAAAAAGTCAAAACTAGATAAATACTTTGCAACGGTGCAGCATTACTCTCTCCGTCCCCAGTTTTTGTCTACTTTTGATTTTTGGAACTGTTCATCTAAGCACTTTGACTCATCAAATTCTCTCAATGTGTAAGCCTAAATATAGTCATGTGTGATCTTGTTTGATTTTTCTTAACATATAGATTATTAATATATAATTTTTATAATTTTTTAATATACAAATTACAAGATAAAATGGGTTAAAGAAGTGAATTAGATGGTGTGTAAAAATGAAAATGGACAAATACGGAACGGAGGGAGTGTTAAATCTAGAGGACAATAATATATTGCTCTTTTGTTGCGAGAATAATGAAATAATGGAGTTCTTCCAAATGTATACCTCATTTGTCCCACACCACCTCATTGTCTACAAAAAAATACAAAAAATTCAAAAAAAAAAATAAAGAAATAAAAATAAAATACCCCCGTCCTATATAATGATCTTCCCAGAGCACTATTCCAACTTCACGGGAATTTATATTTATTTGTGTTTTTTCATGGCCTATATGATAAAATAAAATATTCTTTTCACAACTTGTTTTGTTGAACTTTTGATGTAGTTTTTAAATATATATGATTTATTTTTTATTTTTATACCAATATTTAAATAAAATAGATTGAAAGAACTTGGAATTTTTCTTCGTTTTGCGAACCGGAAAGATAATTATAGGACGGAAGGAGTAAAAATGAGTGGTGGAGAAGTGAGTGGTGTACATTTGGGGTGCCCATAGCATTACTCTTCTTCCAATGTAATTGTTCTAAAGTCAGGGCTGAAAAGCAATGTCCTTAAAAGATGGAGGATTGATTGGCAAATTGAGAATACATTGGAGGGACTACATCGAGAAAAAAGAGGAAGAGATGGAAGGCCTTATAAACCCTAAACTGGGGTGGTTTTTAGCTACCATCATCGCCTCCCCTTCCCCTCCCCCGTTGCTCTTCGTTATCATCTTCAATCTTTTTAATCGTGTGTTTATGTACTCCGTGATTTTATTTATCAATCCCTCGTTTGATTTGATGAGAGATGCGATGAAGAGATTTGATGGATAAATCTTTTTTGATTGCTTAATGCAACATGAGACTTGCATCGGTTCGTATTCCCTGAGCCTCTCTCCTCCGATCGTCGGAGCTTTTTTTATTCTATATCTTTTATTTTTTCGAACAAATAGACGAGGGACCTATGGACGGATCGCGCTGTCGGATGCGTTTTCGCCCAAGTTTGCCTTCGGAAATTGAATCCAGAATACAGATCGCCGGCCGGAATTATGTCCGTTCGGTTTCTTTTCTTATTGAGATCTGACCTTTCTGTCATCTTCGTCCCCCCTCTAAATTGATTTGTCGGAGAGGGTGGAATCTCCGACGTGCTGTATTGCATCCATGATGTTCTTGAGTCTCTTAAAAAAACTGAGATTTTTACATTGTTTGTACTCTTTGAATAAATTCAGATTTGAATAAATTACTCTCTATGTAAGGAGTAATTTGAAAAAATCATTAGCTTAAATACATTTTAAGCCCAAGTCACGTTATATAGATTTGAATAAATCACTCCAAATACATTTGCATAAAATAAGTTTTAATCCTAAGTTGAACAACGATATTTTTTGGCCAAAGTGCCTCATAATTTTGAATCTATGTTATTTTCTTTGTCAACTTTTGATTTTTTTTGAACAAAATTGGTAAGTTTTGATTTTAAATTAAAAAAATGATATTAGGTATTCATATAAAAATACTTTATTATATTTATTTTATCAAATATTTTGAAAAATATTATTTTATATATTTTATTTAATTTTAAAACGGTTACAAAATATATATAGATATTGATATAAACTATACTTTCTTCGTCTACAAATAAACTTTTCAACAGGGTCAAATTTATTTACTTTGTTGGCATATTTTCTTCGTTCATTAGATAAAATAATATAGTCATGTAAGGGGCTGTTTGGCAACTTCTGAATCGGTAAGTGCTGAACCAGTAAAAGGTCTGAACCATTAAGTGCTGAACCAGTAAGAGGTCTGAAATATTAAGAGCTAGTATATTGCTTAACTATTCAGAGGCAAATGTCTGATCAATTCAGATAAGAGGTCTTAACCATTCAGATTCTGTATAATACTTAATCATTCAGAGGCAAATCTCTTAACCATTCAGACATTTGAACCATTAAGAGGCTGAAACAAACAGTCTGAACCATTAAGTGCTGAACCATTAAGAGGCTGAAACAAACAGCCCCTAAGTTTTAGTTTGTAAATCTTTGGTTTAGTTTTTTAAAATATACTCCTTCCGTCCACCTAAGATCTTTTCATTACGTGTTACGAGGCTTGATTGACTTTATTTTTAATTTAATTTAATTAATTATAGGAATAAAATTTTAAAATAAAATTTATATAGTAATAAACTACATAAAAGTTCTACAAAAATAGAGGTGACAGGATTATATTATTTTATGAAATGACTAGTAAAAATGAGCCAATAAAGTGAGTAAGTTTGACCTTGTAAATAGTATCTGGAAAGATTTTTAGTGGACAGAGGAAGTAATTTTTATTTTTAAATATTATACTATTTTTCATATAAAATGATTTGAAATAATTTTTGTCAAATATCGTGACGTTTAACGGGAAATTTCTTTCTAGATAGAGGGACTATCTTGGTGTAAACATTTTTGGGGGGACTTTGTTTTGTTGGTGTTTCTGGAATTGAGTTTGGGTCTCTCAAATTCACTGGTGGGGTTTGGGTTTTAAGAGATTAAGATGTTGAAAAATCCTGATACACCAAAAGTGTATTCCAAACATTTTCATCCCTTCCATCACCACAAAGTAGGCAAGAAATATTCAAAAAAAAAAAATTAAAATTAAAAAACAAAATAAAATGAATGATAGAATAGGAAAGTCAAAGCAAATTTTATCAGACATTAATATGTGTGTCCGGTCAAACCGGGAAGTTCTTTAATGAACGAAGGGAGTAGTCATAAAGAGAGAAAAGAAACTACGCAATATGATTTAATGGTTCTAAGTGAAATTAGATGCACCTACATGAGTGTTTGTGAGCATGGTAGAAAATTCCTTGGTAATGTCATATTGCCTAATCATGAAGCTCAAGGCGGGATGGAGGATTCATTGTAAAATTTAAAAAAATTGATGAAAGATGAGAGGTGGTGCTTTTCAAAAGAGAGCACAAAGGATGTTGAAGAGTTTGTATTAAAAAATGAGTGTATTTAAAGAGCAAATTTTTTATAACTCGATGGGATTGTTGCCGTTTGAAAAGTGGGTGGGACCCTCATTCACCCGTTAAACATTTAACGTTGAGGCATCACCGTCTCGGTAGTTATGCCTGATAACTGTAGGAAGGAGATGTCTTGTATAGAGACAATGGAGACGGGTAAATAAATTGACCCCATTCCAGTCATCAATCATCATCCCTCACTTATTGCCATTTCTGTCCAAATTAATTTTATAACTTTACCCCATTGCCTTCGTTGTTATATCCCCAGCCAATTAAGTGACAAAATGTTTATCTCGGATAGCGGTTGCGGCGGGTTCATTGGAATGGAACACATTGAGACTAGTACAAAATGTAGTGTAAAGTTTTGTTCATTTTCTGGCCTCCTGTTTTGTGTGGGTGACTTGTTGTGAGGAAGGTCACAGATTTTGTATTATTAGGAATATTCGATCTTTGAGGTGTTATCTTTGGCAATGTGGATGCACATGTTAAAAACCGATTTATGGTTATGAAATGTAGATTGGAGAGAAATAACGTGGGTTTATTAAAATTAAAACACTCAATTGCTTGTTTTATGCGGACTATGCAAAAAAAATGGAGAAAAAACAGAACCTGCTCCAGCAGGGCATAAGATATTTTCCGGTACCTGGCAATAAATAATAATAGACCCACCCATGTGGGCAGTGGCGAAATGTGAGCCTTCGATTCCGGGATTATTACCTAATGGGCCTCAGATGATCGAAGGCCCATATTAAAACACCACGGCGCAGCAAGTAGCACAACGTGGGAGTCGTACAAGCGAGCATCTCTCTACACACAGCAGGGACCCCACCACCTGCCTCACACATAGGGGTGGACACGGTACCGGTACGGTACCGTCACCGGCAATGGTACCGCCGGTACCCGCCACCGTCAACAACAAGGTTGCCGTGTCACCGGTTCCGGTAACCGGTACCGGTACCGCCACTTTCGGTACCGGTTCCGAAACCTATTTTTTGGTACCGGTCCGGTTCCGGTACCGGTTAATTTTTTTTTTTGTTCATATGAAATCCTGCAAAAAGTTTAAAAAAAAAAGTGGGGGGCACACCTCAAACGGCTATTTAGCGGTTGATGTGGGGGAGGGGAAGAGGGGAGGGGGACCAAAATTTATCTATAAATTCTCTCATTTTTTACATAAAAAATCACTCAATTTCTCAATCTATCTCTCAATCCTCTCATTCTCTCAATTTATCAATCTCTCAATCTTATTATCTCTATTTAATTTTTATACATTTAATATTCATATAATAATATACAAATTTTATACATTAAATATGTAATTAATTTTTTTAGGTGAGCGATATATAAGCCCTTCGAGGGTTTCTTTACGGTTCTTTACCTCGTCGCTTTTTTTGAACCGTCAGGATATTAAATGTGGTTGTTCTTCAGTTAGTGTATTACTCATTTTCAATATTTAAATAACAACTACATTTTTATATTTTTTATTTAATTCTTTCCTTAAACAATTGCAAATTTACAATTTTATACTTTAAAAATTTAAAAAAAAACAAAAAAAAGGGGGGGGGGGGCGAACCGGGCCGTTCCGGTACCGGAACCGCCGGTCCAAGAACCGGAACCGGTACCAGCCGGCACGGTAACATTTCCGGTTACTCGGGGTGGCGGTACCGGAACCGGAACCGTCCCGGAACCGTACCGTATCCACTCCTACTCACACACATCCCACCCAACAACCCATTCATTCTTGGATCATGCTACACTTACACCAAAAAATGTACACCACAGTTATGCACAAATATTTTGATGGTTTTGCATCGACACAAGTGTTGGTGCGTTAAAAAAAATTTACACGAACACAAAGTGTTGGTGTGTTAACAAAAATTAGTTTTCACCAACACAAAATGTTGGTGTAAACCTGCGAGGTACAAATTAGGGTATAAATGTTGGGGTAAACATAGCTTAATCCTTCATTCTTACCTCAAGTTTCCAAAATCATTCTTTACAATAAATTCATGGATTCCAATATGTAAACAGCATATGTAGATTTATATTTTGTGTCAGTGTGATGTAATAATACATGATGATTTATACAAATATAAAATTTTAGTATAATTTTTTTATTACACTAGTACTTTGTATTAGTGTGAATTATCAAAATATTAGTATATATCTTAGTGTAACTTTGATGTACATTTCTTAGTGTAATTGTAACATGGTTGTAAAATTATTTCTAAACCATTTCTCAATATGCAATAATTACATATATACGGTAATAATTTATGCGGGGTAATTGAATACTTCTCGAAATCACTCCATTGAAGTTATAATTATTAAATCACCCCAATTTTCAGTGAGCTATCGTGAGAAAAATTCTATTATGAGGTTCGATGTCCTTCCGTCCCTAAATAAACTTCCGTTTTTGACTTTTTAAGGGAGGGATATTTTGGTGTTGACTTTCCAAAAATATCCTTGATGTGATGTGTAAAAGTAAGATGCGATATGTAGATTATTAGTAAAAAGGTATGATGTGATAGGTAGGGTATGAAAAAGTAAGGGGTAAAAGGGGTTTTTTAAGGGAAAAGAGAAGTTTATTTAGGGATAATGAAAAAACGAAAGATAAAGTTTATTTAGGGACGGAGGGAGTATATATTAAAGTCTATCGCCTTTAATGACTTTTATGACGTATTATAAAAGAATTATTCCTTATTACGAATCGATTTAATCAACCGCCTTAATATAAACGATCATGTTCAGAATTGGCTCTATCTAAAAAATAGAATGATTTAATTCCTTTTGGATGGATCCGGATACTAGTTTGAGAAGAAATAAATAACATACTCCATAAACAGAGAGATCTATAAGTGCAAAGACTCATATGCTTTCCCCATACATGGATTTGAATTAAAGATACCGGAGAAATTTCCGTTTTTGGGCATCTATTGACCAGGTGTTGTATATTTAATTTGATTATACGGAGTATTTAAGTTTAATCTAATTTAATTGATCTGATTTTAGTAATAATAATAAGAATATTTAAGTTTCACTGGCACTAGAAGAAGTATTGACTTTGTGTGTTAAAGTTGAAAAAAAGAAAATAAAAGAGACAATCCTAGTCGAATACGGATTGAGAAATTGGGGGAGAGATTCATGCGTTTCACTTCCCGCATATGTCTCTCCCTTCAACACAAACCCCTTTCTCAGGAAACAAACTTATTCAAACCGCGTTCGTTCGTTTCTCTGCAATCGGAAAAGAGCCATTAATTCAACAGAAGAAGAAAAATAAATAAAAAGGAAAGGAGGGAGTGGGTGCGGGGTTTTGATGGATAGAATCGAAGAAGAAGAATAATAATAGTACTCACATAAATCATCAGAGCACCCATCTCGATCTCCTCTCCCCGGCCTGCTTACATTTACATTGTTGTTTTCTTCTTCAGATCTTGTTCGACGACGGCAAGATCGACGACAATGGTGGCGGAGGAGAACAAAAAGTACATTACTTCGGAGGAGCTGCGCAAGCACAGCGCCAGGGGAGATCTGTGGATTTCCATCCAGGGCAAGGTCTACGACGTGACCGAGTGGATTCAGCGCCACCCCGGCGGCGACGTCCCCATCCTCGATCTCGCCGGCCAGGACTGCACCGACGCCTTCATCGCCTTCCACCCCGGCACCGCCTGGAAGCATCTCGACCCCTTCTTCACCGGCTACTACCTCCGGGATTACCGCGTCTCCGAGGTCTCCAGGGACTACAGGGCCATCTGTTCCGACTTCTCCAGAGCCGGCCTCTTCGACAACAAGGGCCACGGCGTCGTCTACTCCTTCTCCTTCATCGCCCTCCTCCTCTCCCTCTGTCTCTACGGCGTCCTCCGCTGCCACACCCTCCTCGCCCACGTCCTCTCCGGCGCCCTGCTGGGCCTCGCCTGGATGCAGATTTCCTACCTCGGCCACGATTCCGGCCACTATAACATCATGACCACCCGCGGATTCAACAAATTCGCCCAGATCCTCACCGGAAACTGCCTCACCGGGATCAGCATCGCCTGGTGGAAGTGGACCCACAACGCCCACCACGTCGCCTGCAACAGCCTGGACCACGACCCCGATCTGCAACACCTCCCCGTCCTGGCCGTCTCGCCCACATTGTTCCGATCCATCCAGTCCTGCTTCTACGGGCGAGAGCTCACATTCGACCCCCTCGCCCGGTTCCTGGTGAGCTACCAGCACTTCACCTTCTACCCCGTGATGTGCGTCGCCCGGGTGAATCTCTACCTGCAGACGTTCCTGCTCCTCCTCTCGAAGAGGAGGAGAGTTCCCGACAGGGCGCTGAACATCCTGGGGATCCTGGTGTTCTGGGCGTGGTTCCCTCTCCTGGTCTCCTGCCTCCCCAACTGGACGGAGAGGGTGGTGTTCGTGCTGACGAGCTTCTGCGTGTGCTCGATCCAGCACGTGCAGTTCTGCCTGAACCATTTCGCGGCCAACGTGTACGTGGGGAGGCCGGAGGGGAACGACTGGTTCGAGAAGCAGACGAGGGGGACGATCGACATAAGCTGCACGGAGTGGATGGACTGGTTCTTCGGGGGGCTCCAGTTCCAGCTGGAGCACCACCTGTTCCCGAGGCTGCCCAGGTCCCAGCTGAGGAACATCTCCCCCGTGGTTCAGGCCCTCTGCAAGAAGCACAACTTGCCTTACAGGAGCCTCTCCTTCATCCAGGCCAATCTCACCACCCTCCAAACCCTCAGATCCGCCGCACTCGAGGCCAGGGAGAATCTCCTATGGGAAGCTGTCAACACCCATGGCTGAGGCAGATCTTTCTTCTTGTTTGTTTGTTTGTTTGTTTTGTTCTTCTACTTCTACTGCGGAGTACTACTACTATATATCTCTATAAGCATTCCCTCTTGTTCCTTTCTTCTGGTTTTTCAATGGCAGTTTTATCTCCTCATGAATGACTTCTTCTTGTCATTTCGAATTTCATTAATCTGTGGTTCTCACTTCATCTTTTGACAGAACAATAAACCATAGCTTCTTTGTCTATTCATTTTTTAGTTCATTTTTTTAAAATTATGTATGAACCCTAGAAAAACAACCCCTGCAGATTCTTTAAACACTAGGGAGTATTTGGGTAAAGGCATCATGGATAGCAAAAGGATGTTTTTTTTTAGGCAGAAAAGGGTGTTTATTATTTTACTATTATCACATTGTTTTGATTTTATTGATATAGAGAAGTTTGGGTAGTAGAAAAAGAGTAAAGGTTTTTACCCTGTGTGTGTGGGCGTGGAAAGGAATGGATCCTTTTCATGTCGTTTTTTCATATTAAGGGTGTGTATGGTTTGGTTTGGTTTGGTTGTTCATGATTCCAAACCCAAGAACTGTTGTATTCATTCTCTTCATTTTTTTTATATCACTACTTGAATTGCATTGGAATAGAAAGTCAGCAGAGCCATAGACTACATGAGGATGAGTGGGTGAGTGGAAATAAGCCAAAAGGAGGCCACTTTCGTTCCGTTACGCGTACAAGGAAAAGGACCAGCTTTTGAATTGAAGGGCAATATATCATCAAAAGGATATACGCAGTATATACACATTCCGTCCATCTTTTTTTTTCCTTCTTGAATTAGTGTGGAGATATACCAAAACAATCCAACACCACACAACTATCCATCCCCGTCCACCTGTAATGTCTAAATCATTTTGGGATGGATGCCGGTGGACATTACGCAGTTTGCAAAGGCAAGGAATGTCAAGGGAGTAAGATCTGAATTTGATTTATAACAACTGCGTTGGGTGGCAACTATGCTAAGCATAGGTACCAGGTGCATGTTCTATTCTTTGTCATTAATCTGCAATCAAAATTCAATTTAATTCTTCTCAGTGATTATTAGGTCAGGTCTAAGAGAATTCTCGGGAATGTGGCTCATCCTTTTTATTATTTGGGAATGAATGGAATATATTCCCTATATTCACTTCAAGCTCTAGTTTATACAAAGTACTCCCTCCGTCCCAAATTATAATGAATGTTCATTATTCACAGGGTCAAACTTCATTCACTTTCTTTTTCTATTTTCGTTAGCAATTTGATAAAATAAAATAATATTGTCACTACTAGTTTTGTAGATCTTTTGATGTAGTTTTTTAATATGAAATTTTTATTTTTTGATTCTATACCATTTGTCATATAAAATGGTTTGAAAATAATTTCAGTCAAACATCGTAAACCGAAACAGACATTATAAAATGGGACGGAGTTAGCATATAATAAGAAGAAATTCTTACTTTTTTATTCATTGTAAAATATAGAGTTACTTAAAAAAGGACTAGTGTTATAACTTGTTGCATGTTTGCCTTTTATTTCAATGTATTAGACACTAATTGTTTCAATACAAAATAATATCCCTTTGTGAATAGTATTTTTCTTCCTTTTTTTCTAAACAAATTCTCTCTTCACATTCATTATTTAACATTTTTTTAAACTTTCTAATTTTTTTTACAATAAAAGCTCAATTCATCATATCACTAGAAGTATTTTTTACAAGAAAAGAGATTATAATGACATGTCATTCCATTAAATAAGACATATAACCAGTCTCCTTAGTTACTACATGGACAACATGATTCGCACATCTTTTTACAAAACTAAAGTTTAGACTACTAAAGGAAGTAACATCTTTAATACCAGAACTAGCAAATCCAGAGGAAGAATTAAAAGGTTCAGAGTCCAACTAGAAAGTAACCTACTCGCATCAGTCTCTATGTCCACATTGTCAAACTCTACTTCCTTCCGCCAGTCCACAGTATTGTCTTAGTTGCAATGAAACTAGGGCTGAGTTGGGAAAATCAAACCGAAATCAATCTAAACCAACTAGAAAAAATGAATTGGAAAAATAAAAAATGAACCAAACCGAATATGCAAAACGTTCTTAGGTGTTTCACTTTATTTATATGAGTATATGTGATATGTAAAAAAATTCTACATAATTGACTTAAATATCACACACACACACACATATAAAGTAGAGTTTGACTATGTGGACATGGAGACTGATGCGAGTAGGTAACTTTCTAGTTGGACTATGAACCTTTTAATTCTTCCTCTGGATTTGTTAGTTCCTATAAAAAGCAATTAAATAATTAGAATTAACTTACACCTCATTTGTTTCAAATTAAATATTTTATTTTTTGTCCAAAAGAAGTCTTTATTGGCTCATTTTTAGAATACGAAAATCAATGAAACATTTTATTTTTTCACTAAAGATCATTTCTCATTTTCTGTTTATTAATTTTATACTGTTTCTTTTATTTTAATCAAAATTAAAATAAAAGAAAAAAGAATAGAAAAGAAAGTAAGGAAAAAGAAAAGTATATGAAAAACATACTTTTACAGAATATGGAAAATTATATAATTAAAACTTTTTTGTGCATTGATGAAAAAATATTATTAATATATATTTAATTACTCTGTATATATTAAAAAGATGTTACTCAATATTCTTTTAGACCCAGCATATTCAAAAAGATAAAAATTTCTTTAGTCAAAATGAGGTAAATGTTAAATTTTTTATTTCAAACACAAATATTCTTTTTTTAAAAACTTATTTTTAAAATGTAGGTTTGAAAAAAAATAATTTTTCATTATTTCACACAAACAATTTTCTTCCTTTCTGAAAGAAAGAAAAGAAATAGAAAAACAATAACAAAAAAGGAGAGGGGTTGTTGGCGTTCATTTCCAAACAATATTAGCAACGTGATTATTCACTTAATATTTGAAGAATATTTTTATCTATAGAAATATTGATACGGAGTATAATAATATCAAAATCATAAAAAATAATGGCATATTTTTTAAAATCATGAAAAATCACAATGCACATTTATCAAAGTACCAGATATGGGATAGTGGTGGAATAAATTTTTTGAAAGAACCATGAGGGGATGAGGTTTGGAATTTGGATAGTCGTTGCCACATGATTTCCACCCATCTTTCTGCCTCTCAACTCCGATTCCGACAATACAGAAATCGTTCTTTCAAATCCAACCAAATTGAACCCAAAATTCTCCTCCATCGTCTCTAGAACGTTCGCGCGTATTTTTTTCTCTTTGGCTCATCGCAAGGAGGCAGACAGTTCTACTATGGTCTCCCCTCGGTTTCCGGCACCTTTGATACCTCTGAAGTTCTGAATAATTCGCGTCACCGGATGGCCGTCATGTTACCGCCGTCGAGAATCTCTTCATTCTCCGTTGGGCTGCGCCCGGTGGGGATTTATTCCAATACAAAGTTCAGAGCTGGGAAAAAGGTCGAAACTCCTCAATTCAATACGAGTGGAAAGGAAATTGCTAAAATTAGGGTTTTATCCAGCGTTAAGGATTTGGAGGAGTCCGTGAAAGGTTCGCGTTTGGGGGATAATATGGGTCTGCGCGAGCAGTTCTCAGCTCAGCCCAGTGCTACGAAGATGAGCAAAGAGGAGGAGCAGAGGCGGGATTTCTATCTCAACACGGGCTACGCCATTCAGACCCTCAGAGAGGAGTTTCCGATCCTGTTTCTCCGGGAGATTACATTTGATATCTACAGGTTTTTTTTGTTTGTTTCTCGCTATCTCTCGTTATAATGATCTGTCTACAATTGATGTGGTAGTAATTCTAATTTTTATATCTGTTCATGACTTCAATTCTGTTTTCCAGCTAATATGAGTAAATTGCAAGTTTTTGAACGGTCAGAATCCCCCAAACTATTTGTTTCGTTTGGAAAAATATAACCCCAATCTGCAAAGATTCACTTTTCCTTCAAAAAAAGTGTCAGGAGTCGTCTTCTTTTTGGACTTTGGTGCTGTTATTGATTATTGTTAGGCACCATTGTCAGATTTCTCTTTTGTTTCGATTTCTTTTGTTCGGCGTTCATCTAATGTGGTAGCACATATATTGGCTAGGCGGGTGGTTCTCAGTGTGGTGCTTGGACCTCTACTCCTGATTTTGTACTTCCACTATTGGTGATTTAATGAAGAAGTTAAAAAAATTGAGTATTTTGTGTCTTAGAATGTTGTATAGGATGCATATGTTTTTAGTGGTACATTGAGAATAAAAAAGATGTAAGATCTGTTCTTTTTCCACTTCTTGGCATTCTTATGCCAAGAACAATAAAACATGGTTAAGATAATTAGCAATTGAGGTAAGCACTTGGTGTGATTTTTTATACACTGCCACATCGGATTAGGTTTACCGGTGTATTTCCAAGTTGTGAAACTCAAGTAGCCAGCCATTTGGGGGGGGGGGGGGGTGAAAACCGATTTGAAGTCCAAGAATGATATACGGAGTATTGATTTTCACAACCTCTGTAATATAGTGTTTTCAATGATTTGATGTTCCTTTTCACTGATTCCAGGGATGATATCGTGTTCAAAGACCCAATCAACACATTTGTGGGCATTGAGAATTACAAATCAATCTTTTGGGCACTACGGTTCCATGGGAGGATATTTTTTAAGGCACTGTGGATTGACATTGTGAGTGTGTGGCAGCCTGTAGAGAACATGATAATGGTGCGTTGGACTGTCCATGGCATTCCGCGGGTTCCGTGGGAGAGCCGTGGTCGGTTTGATGGGACTTCAGAATACAAACTTGATAAGAAGGGGAAGATATATGAGCACAGGGTCCACAATATTGCTCTAAATGCACCTCCTCCAAAGTTCCTTGTGCGATCTGTGCAAGAAATGATTCAATGCATTGGGTGTGGATCAACCCCAAAGCCCACCTTCTTTGAGATATCATCGTCTTCGTTCAAGAACTTCATGGCAGGCGTGAATTCTTGTGGTCCCAGATGTCACCTGTCTTCGATCTTATCTTCTTCTGTCTGGAATCAGGAGGATATTGAGGAATCATCGGAGAGAAGATGGCATTGAAGAAGCGAGCTCTTGCTAGGGATGGGAATCTCTGATAACCCACAATTACCCTTACTGTGGAGTTCATCCATGAAAGAGCGGTTATATTTGTAATACGGTACTAAAAAACGCGACTCTTTTTCTCATTACAATGGATTTGTAAAGTTTTTTGTTGTTGTATAGTCATGTTCTTATAAGCGCTGCTACATCAAGCTTAGCTTGTAACATGGTAATATTATTGATTTGAAGTTTGCAAATTTTCCTCTCCTCTTATGGATTCAGTGCTAGTCGTCGTTTATTTCTTTTTCTTTTATAATCCAAATTGGCTAGAATAAAGATTAAGGTTGGTTTACTAACTATAAATACTTAGCTTCTTGTCCTAGAGTAAAACATACTCCCAATTTTTGATATGTAGATGATTTCATATATTTGCATCCCTCCATTATTTATGGTTTGAATTAGGACCGACCTAGGAATTAACACCAATACTATTAAAAGTAAAAAAAAATAATTTTGGAAAGATATCTATAAAAAAGGATCACGCTGTAACATTTAATAATGAATGACTAAATATAAATGATCAGTTATTAAGAACTAATTATTGAATAAATTTAATGTAGGGAGTGAGTATTAAGGCTATGTTTTTCTCAACTTATTTTTTACTTATTACTTATTCTTATTGAAATCATATCAGAGCAGATATGATCAGAAATAGTTTTAAATAAAATTACATTCAGATCAAATTAAATCAGATCAAAATTTATTCCAATCAAATCAGAAGTAATGAGATGAGATGAAGAGAAAATGACTTATTTCTCTAGTATTGTTTGGTGTGAGGTTGAGCGGGGTGGACCTCAAACTCAAACGACCCAACCCAGCTAAGCTCTAATTAAGCTCGGCTCAACCCCCACAGGCCACACCTGTCTCTCGATCATCGTCTTCCTCAACATTAAATACGACTACTCCGTCTGTTTCGCTTGATCATGACTCCATCAATGCACTTTCCGCCATTGCGTCCTTCTCAAGACTCCTCCACCGCACCCCGCCACCGCCATCACCTCCCATAACCGACCTAATCCATTGTTAACCGAAATCTTCCGCTTAAATTATACTGCTGCCTTCCCACTTTGGCGGCTCACCGATCTCTCTGCTCTGGAGATGATGGAAGCGGTGCCAGCTAAACCGCCGAATGCGGCGATGACGTTCGACGAAGTGTCGTTGGAGCGGAGCAAGAGTTTCGTCAAAGCCTTACAGGTTTCATTCCTTTTCCTCTTCTCCCTTTTTTTAATATTATATTTGTTCCTGCCATTTTTGAGATCTGATCTGATCTGCTCGCGCGCCCTTCATTGCTCTTAATTTATAGTTGAATTCGCCATGTAAGCTCCCATCTTATCCATTTCTGCATTCTCTTTTCTCTGCCTTTATTATTTATGTAAATGGTGCCATTCTCCAGGCACCATTTCATTATCGAGAACAATTAACCATTGCCCCTTCTGATCTCAGTTGTCATGTTAGAAATTATGATTATTTTTATTATTTGATCAATTCTGTTTCTGTTGCACGCCTGCTTCAGGAATTGAAGAACTTGAGGCCTCAACTGTATTCTGCTGCTGATTATTGTGAAAAGTCTTATCTTCACAGCGATCAGAAACAGATGTAATTCTATGTTCCTTATGCTTGTATGGATCAGCCTCCTTTGAAGTGGGCTGTTAACCGCATTCATCATTATTACTCCTTGTCTACCTGCAGCTAATTAAGATGTGATTTTTTCTTTTTTTAAGAAAATAAAATTGTGCCCTAATGTAGTGCTTTGTTTTAGGGTTCTAGAGAACCTGAAAGATTATGCTGTAAGAGCACTTGTAAATGCGGTAGATCACCTAGGAACGGTTTCTTACAAATTGACTGACCTCGTTGGCCAGCATAATTTAGATGTTTCGGCCACGGAGTTAAAGATTTTTTGCTTAAATCAGGTATTTGTTGAGTTCTTACTCTGTATTTTTTTTAAGTCTTAGATTGATCATCAAATATTCACCGCAGTGAACTTAAATATTGTCTATATCAGCGACTTCTAACTTGTCAAACATACACGGAGAAAGAAGCTCTCAGACAGCAGCAGCTATTGGCTATCATCCCCAGACATCACAAACACTACACTTTACCAAGTATAGTCCTTGCTTGAATTTCTTGAATGCAAAGCCAGCCTCACTTCCTATCCCATTCTTATAATTTTGTAATGTCCTAGATTTTGTCAACAAGAAGGTTCACTTTGGTCCCCATAATCACAGGCAACATATACAATCCAGAGCCCACCTTTACGCTTCAGGTAATTAACCACTTTTTTGCTGCTGCCATGCTGACAAAGTTTCTCCTGCTGTTATTACACTTATGAGTCAATGTTAACGTATGCACTTTGACTGCAGGCAATCCGGCTGCTAAAACTCTTTCATGGCATCTGGCATCAGAGACCACATCAACTTTGAAGGACTCTTCATTTGGTTTTGCAGGGTTAGGAGCTTCTTGGCTTTGTACACATGCAATAGAGAGTTTCTAATAAAATCATTTTTAGAGTTCATTATAGTGGGATACAGTATTATGTTTGTTCACATTCTCACAGTGCTGATGATATAAAAAGTCCAGGAAAAACATCTGCAGCGTTCAATTTGTTAGGTATGTTAAGGATTCGTTCCATGATTATTGTCCTGCACTTTCTGTCTAAGAAAATGTATCATGCATGTGTTAAAGGATGGCTTGAATTTTATTACGGGCAGATGCTGCTTCGAGCAAGGCTAGGACAAAAGCGTCCTCAGCTCAACCTAACCCCCCAAGCATGAGTCCTGCATCTTCTATAGCAACACAGACATTGGGCATTGTGCAACGGGTAATGCTGTACCCACATTATTGACACTACCTATATCTGCTAACTCCCTCCCGAACTGTGTTATGCATCCATTTTCAAAACAAGCTACAAAAGAGGCAGACTCACTTTCATTCCCACTGCTATTGGTTTTAATTTTCCCCTTTTTCTCAGGATAATACACGGGATGGTTCTAAACCAACGCCTACATATAGATCATCTGACAATCAGCGGGGGGAACTGGTACGTGCACCTGCTCGCAGCAAGAGTGTTCTTTCAACTCTCTTTGCTAAACAGAAGTTACTGAAACTCCAAAAGTGAAGGGGGGTGAATGCCCCACAGCGATATCCATATAGTCTTGTTGATCAGGATCCATGAAGCTCGTTTCCTCTATCATACCACACTACACCACTAGGTCTATATATTGCAGCAGTTCTCATCAAATGCAGTTTTTTTTAAATACAAAGTGTTACTAAAATAGAGAATAATTTGTAGCATTGTGATGTGTACAGTACAATGACTGGGTTTAGTCATTTCCAATAAAGCATCAAGGGTATATGTTCAATGTGATTCCAGGATAGCACTCTGCGTTATCATGATTCATCACTCACATGACTAGGCTGTTTAAGACAATTAATCTTTTAAACATAGTTTTTACGAGCTAGAGCCCACAAGGTATGGGGTGTGAGAATTTGAGTATGGTAATTGAAGACTAGAGACTGGTAATTGAATCCTTGACGCTGGTAACTGAAACTTGGAACATAATAACTAGAACCTGGATTAAATATATTGTGGGTTCTCCATATTTATAAGCTGGTTAAAACTGCTTATAAGTAGTTTTTAACTTATATGTCAGATGAGGATGAGATGTTTCCGCGTGCTTATAAGATGACTAATAAGTTGTTTATAAGCCAGAAAAAATTAGTAGATCTTAGCTATTTATTTTTAAGTCAGTTTTTTCGTTTCTTTGTTTTGACCAGATCATTAACCAGATCATTTGAATATTTACAAATGATTTATATATCATTTAAGTCATTTTACTTCCACGAAAGAATATTTAACTTATAAACAGCTTATAAGTTAAAACTGCTTACCAGCAATAAGCCAACAAGCACCAGCACAAAGAAATACCCCCATGATAAAACTCAATTAATCTTTTAACTAGAAATTGATAAGCTTAAAAAAATGATGAACTTGAAGTTGGCATTGGAGCATCCGGCATCGTGTTTAAAAAGAATAAGGCTTAAATTTGTATCTTTATATAGATGTGTTCTTTTTATTTTGTTTTTGACTCGCTTTGACTTCACGAATTTTAAGAACTTATTTACGGAGTAAAAGTGAAAGATATTTGTGGAAGAGTGATGTTTACATGATCCCTAAGGGTCCGTTCCGTAGGACTTATTTTTTCTACTTATTACTTATCATATATATATATATATATATATATATATATATATATATATATATATATATATATATATATATATATATATATATATATATATATATATATATATATATATATATATATAAAGTTGAGTTAAACCGTTGTGGGGCTGCCATGTGGCAATCCAAGTAGGCTATTTCGGTGCTTATTTGGAAAAATTGTAGCTGACTCATCAAATAAAAAAATAATCCAATACAGTATTTTTTTAGGCAGTCCTGGTGATTGCTATTGACTACCGTCCCTTCTGTTTCCCATCCGCTTTGCCTCTTTGGATTCACCATCAACGGCGATCATAAGTTCCACCGACCACCATCAACGACGATCAAGAGCTCCACCGGTTGACGCAAGAGTTCCCAGCGGCCATCAACCGTTGTCTGGCGCAAGAGTTCCACCACACTTCTTCCTCTCCGTTACACCTGCTTGCTCGATTTTTTTAATGGAGGTGACGAATCTAGGGATTGAATTGCCGACTGACTATTTACTCGGGTTGTTCGTCTTCCTCCCTCCACGAAGTGCCCCACGTACTCAATCCAATAGTCATACCGACGTGTTTGATGTAGACAAAGTCAAGAGACATGCTCAACAAGTAAGCCAATGCCCAACCCTAAGCAGTTAGGGTGATCTGATAATCTGTCATGACATAAACCCCATTTCCTGCAAAGATGGTACCTAGGGACAAAAATGTCTTTAGTGTCTATGTTGCAGAATTTGATTATATAATCATTTCAGATTTCAGGGAACTAACACATGCTTCCCTATGTGCCAGCCCCATAAATAATTTGCTTTTTTAATACATTCATGAAGTGTTGTGTAAGAAGAGGGATGTGAAATTAGAGGAATATAAACAAGGATTGAAATTGAGAAATTAAAAAAAATGTTGTTGATGGTACGTTGATGTTAGTGCTTAAAACCATTAATAATTTTAAAAGGATTATTGCTAATGCTACTGCATAGTGAGCTAACCTATCAATCTGCCATGCCATTGAGCAGCTATACCTGGCTTCCTTTGTGTGAACAACGCAAAAAAGATTTCATTAGAAGTGATGAAACTTCTAACTTGAAATTACAGTGTCTTACATATCTTCATTCCTGTATTTCAGATCCAGTCGTTCATTGCTGGCATACCTTTGATTGTTGTTGGGTTTAGGTATATTTTAAATATCTTGGGATAATCCATGCTCTCTCTCTCTCTCTATTCCGTGTCGAGAAAATGCGAACCAATGAGATCACACATAGGGTAAAAGGCAAAGGTTATTGGCAGGTAACAATACATATGCACACACAGGCTGGTTATTGTTATATTATTAAAATGGAATGGCACTAGAAATCTTCTATGACAAGCGGTTCTCTACTTGTATTGACGTGTCAGAAATAGTGAAACCCATGTCATTCTGTCAATTTGATTCCTTTCCCCCTAAATTTTGCAAAGCTGTTTATTTGATGCATTGTGAATATCTTCAATAGTTCCCAAGTTAGGGTTTAGTTAGAGATATATAGAACATGTAGGGGGGCGTAGGGTATACATGCACTGTTGTAGGGTCCCAAAAGTCTGAACTTTTTTTGTAACTGAATGCTCAATGTGTACTTTGGTTTTTATTTTAACAGGGGGGCGTATGCCTTGCATTTGCAGATGAGGTCTTATGCTGGCTCTATGGGACGGTAAAGGAAAGTAAGACTTCTTTGGCAAGCCTTTTTTGGCAAACCGACAACTTTTTAGGTTACCAAGACAATTGACTGAATTGAGCACTTATCCAACTTTACCCGTCTTGATTTTGGAGGCACAAACAAACATATAGCCGCTTCTTACTTTCTAATTAAAGGGTAATAGAGTAATCTGACCTCCCATATGAGACTGAGGCAAGCCTCTTTAAAATTTGGAGCAGGGTTATAGTCATTTCATATCATTATCATCATGTTTCCATACAAAACTTGGGGTGATATTAGCCATCTTGTGTGATTATTTACACCTGCAATGTCTTAGAACAGTCATTTCTCTTAAGGGCCTGTTTGGTGAACGAATGGGATACCATAATCCTTTTTGTGGGTGGGTGGTAAGCCTAAACATGGATCAGATTTGAAATCTTTCGATATCACAACCCTCTCAAATGGGGTGTTTGGATATCTCCCAAAATCAAAACCCTCAAATTTGGTGCTTTGATATTTTCTGATTTTCGGGGATATCAAACCGACAATTATCATTTCAAATCTCTTCAAACTCTCCCTTTTTTTATATTTCAACCCAATATCATTTCTTTCATATTTCAGAACACGTATAATGTCATGCCTCGCTTACCAAACAGGCCCCTGAACGACGGATTAAATGGAAAACAGTTGCTGGAAGCTACATTTTGGCCTTATTAATTTCAACTGTTTTTTTTGTGTTGTCTCCATATGAAGACTACATCTTGCAATTCACTGCACATTCGAATCGGTTGGAGCTCCTTCGGGCTCAGTCATGCCCGGAATCAATTACCCAGCATGTTCAAGAACTTGATGGTTAACTTCTTGAGTTGTTGGGCTCTATGAGAAGAATGAAGACTACTTCAGATCAGTTTGGCTCCCTTTTACATTGGGATCAGAT